CTGTTTAATAAATGTAACCAAAGCCGTCAAAGATTGAGGAAAGATGTACACGTTCGTAAGTGCTTGTGTAAGGCTTTCGTGAATCTGGGCCCAGGATACGAACCCAGGACAAAGCGCTCGCGAAACGCCAGGCGAGTGTCTTACCACTTCACCACGGGAACTGCTTAAATAAAATAAGAACAATGAAGACGAAGAGAAAGAATAACTTAAGATTAATGGTAAACAGAAGTTCGTAGACGCGTAGTTATAATTATTATTTGTTCCTAATGCACCTAAATTTGGATGCTGTTGTTGTTGTTTAAGATTCGCTACTTGGAACAAAAAGTTCCAAGTAGCACGGGCTATGGTGAGCCCGTTGTGAACTTAGCTGGCACAGGAGCGGGGCTGTAACTTGGGTTTTGGATGCTATCGACACCACCGTCTAGACTGCGGTGCTTCTCTTTAATTTAAGTGATTTTGTTTCTAACCTCCAAGAGTTAGAACTATTTGTCGACGTTTGTTCATTTATGGTTTGGTTACAGCTTTACATGTCAGCCATTATCCAGTAGCACATTGTGAGAGGCAATACCTTATCCAGTAGCACATTGTGAGAGGAAATACCTTATCCAGTAGCACATTGTGAGAGGAAATACCTTATCCAGTAGCACATTGTGAGAGGAAATACCTTATCCAGTAGCACGCAGTGAACGAAGTTAGAGAGTCATCTCTCTGAGAGAAATTATAGAGGAGGTATGTCTGTGTAGATGGTAGCGTCCAGAGCCCTCGATTCAAGGAGTACATCTTGACCCTGTGTTGTTGTAGTTGTTGCTGTTGTTGTTGTAGTTGTTGTTGTTGTTGTAGCAGCCGCTGGTCGAAACCTGCAGCTAAACAACACAAGACAAGAAATATGTATCGAACTCACGGTAAAACAACTCCTGCTTAAACTATTTCACCATTTCACTTGTTTCTGTTTAGAATTCCTATATTCTGTATTACTATACTTTTACTATGCTATTCTATATTACTATAAACATGAGTCATAACTCTATGTGGTATTGTAAATGCACTGCTTTTTTGTATTCAAATTCTAAACAAATATATCTATATTGAGTGTGAAATGATCACTGAAGGAGGATGTGTATAAGAGACATTACTCACAACATGAGCGTGAGAACCTGGGGCCAGATTCACGAAAGCACTTACGAACGTGTATATCTTTTCTCAATTTTTGGCGGCTTTGTTTACAATTATTAAACAGTTAATGAGCTCCGAAGCACCAGGAGGCTATTTTTAACAATAACAACAGTTGAATGGAAAGTTTTCATGCTCGTAAACTGTTTAATAAATGTAACCAAACCCGTCAAAGACTGAGGAAAGATGGACACGTTCGCAAGTGTTTTCGTGAATCTGGCCCCTGACTGAATCAGAAAATACGTGCACGATCAGTGTGAGGTCCTGTCTCCTCTGGAGGCAGTTTACTGAGTGTGATTTAAGACCTGGTTTGCAGTTGAAGTTCTCACACAACGTCAGTAAAAGAATCTATAAGAAGAGGACACAATGAACATCAGTAGGCGGACTCAACTGCAATCGAGATCATATACCAAATTAATAAGAGGACTTACCTGTATCAGAAGTCATGCATATCATCAGTAAAAGGACCTATATGTAGCAGAAGTCATTGACAACATCAGTAAAAGGACTTTTCTGTAGCAGAAGTCATTGACAACATCAGTAAAAGGACTTTTCTGTAGCAGAAGTTTTTGACAACATCAGTAAGAGGACCTATATGTAGCAGAGGTCATCACAACATAACTAAGATAACCTATCCGTAGCAGAGGTCTCACAATATCAATAAAATGACTTACTTGTAGCAGGGGTAGTATGCATCGCCACTATTAAGACCTAATTAACGAGGAGACACCCCAGGCATCAACAAGAACCTACCTACCCACCTGTAACCAAAACCCTACATAGTGCAGACACCAGCAGCAGGAGAAGGAACATGATATTCCTGCTACCCCCCGTCCTGAGCGCTCCCACCTGACACCACGGTCACCTCTACACTGACGTCTCCACTCTTCCTTGCACACTGTTTCTCGCCAGGCGCTCATCTGATTGGAACTTACCCGGAATCCACTTATTCATTTCTAGCTTAATCTAACAACTCAAAAACGTTTTTAAATTCCAGTGAACAGTTCTTCAAGTACAGGTTATCTTGAGATGATTTCGGGGCTTTTTAGTGTCCCCGCGGCCCGGTCCTCGACCAGGCCTCCACCCCCAGGAAGCAGCCCGTGACAGCTGACTAACACCCAGGTACCTATTTTACTGCTAGGTAACAGGGGCATAGGGTGAAAGCAACTCTGCCTATTGTTTCTCGCCGGCGCCAGGGATCGAACCCAGGACCACAGGATCACAAGTCCAGCGTGCTGTCCGTTCGGCCGACCGGCTCCCTGTGATTCGACCGGCACAGAGGAGATTATTAGGGATTCACTTGTCTCTCGGATAGATTAGTTTGAGCCTA